AAGACGAGAATCTGAACTGGTGTTGACAAAATTATCCGTGGCAGATGGAGGGCAAGACAAGCAAACATTTAGAAGACGATGTATCATATCCATCCACGTGTCTAACTTCCTCTTCCTCTCCCATGCGGCCCAGTCCGGATGCCACCTTCTTAGTCAGGCTGAAACTGCCTGTCCAGGGAACCGTTTACCTGAGCAACCCCAGCCAACCTGAAAAGTGGTGCCCTTGCCATGGAACACTCTCCTAGGGTGACCAACTGATGGCAGGAAAGAAAGTCCTAGGAGTAGGGTGGAGTCCCAGGAGGCCCCTCCGGTGTCTGGTGCAATCCTTGGCCAAGGCCCTGCCCATCATGGCCCCGTTTCTGTTTGAATGGGGAGGCTTACTTTGATCTTTTATTTCTACCCCACTTCCTTATGTGTGCAGGCAAAGCACCTTGCTTGTGGCCTGGCTGCTTTCCACAGTCAGCAGATCTAATCAGTCAGACACTTGAAAACACCCCAGGGTTGCACCCTCACATCGCTCCCAAGGTGCCTGGCCCCACGCTAGAATTCATGGCCTGCCCTTTAGACCCTTTTACGTAGTGAAATGTTTCATTAGAGAAACAGTCTTCCAGTGAAATTTTCCTCCCTGTTTTCTTTTACTCCTTGGTTCATTCACCTTTGGGATGGTTAGCCCTTTAAGGAAGTGTCAGCTTACTTCCTGGTTGTTGTTTTTTTTTTAACTGCTTAACACTTTCTGGTTTAGTACAACCAGCTTCTTTAGCAGGCTCTCTTCCAGGCTGGCGGTAGCTGGCACTAAACTGTCCCGTTAGGTAGACATTAGAAATGAGGTGATATATCCTTAACGGATATAAGAAGTATATCTGGGTCAATCAGACTTAGGGGATTTAAGTCAATTGCATTATTTTAATTCTTGAAATTTTAAAGTCATCCAAAGCAATCAATCAATCCTCTAGCATCTATGAGTGCCTACACTGTGTAGCACAGGGCTGTTATTAGCGGATATAAAACACTTGCCCTATCTGAATTCTTTATGCTTCTATAATTTAATTGGAAACTTAGCAGTTCATTTAAAAATTACTGAGAGGGGCGCCTGGGGGGCTCAGTTGGTTAAGCATCCAACTTCACCCAAGGCCATGATCTCACAGTCTGTGAGTTCGAGCCCCGCGTCGGCCTCTGTGCTGACAGCTCAGAGCCTGGAGCCTGCTTCAGAGTCTGTGTCTCCCTCTCTCGCTGCCCCTTCCCCCCTCACGCTCTGTCTCTCTCTGTCTCTGAAAAATGAATAAACCTTTAAAAAAATTGTTTTTTTAAATTACTAAGAAGTAGAGCCATGCAAAATTTAAAAAACAAAATATCATTTCTTACCTATCGGAATGTCAAAAGTCTGATAATATTCGATGTTTAAAGGGTGTGGTTTAATGGGTTCTCTCGTATGTTGCTGGCAGGAGTGCAAATAAAGCTATTTTGGAGGACAATGAGCAGAGTCTATTCAAGTCGAAAATGTGCACACCATTATGACTCCACAATTTTACTCCTCAGTGTCTACTGTAGGAAACCTCTTACCACTGCATGAAGAGGCCTGTTGAAGACATTCTTCATATCACTGGAACAGTGAAAACTGTAGCCGACGTAGCCATTCATCAGATGGGTAATTACTGAATAAACTGTGTTTTACCTATACGACACAATTCCATACAGTTTAAAAGTATGAAGACTTAGATAAAAATCCAATATATAACAAGTGGAATAAAGCAAACAGAGGGTAAATATGTAAAAATGACAGCTTTTATATAGGAAAAAACTCTGTTATATAAGTTATATTTTTTGCACAGGAATGAGCACAGGCTGGTGCTCAACGGGAGCCTAGAAATGTGAGTCTCATTTCATTTCTTCTATTATCTTCGTGTCAACAACACCCAATCTTTCCTTTTAAGAATCCTCTCCTCCGTGAGGACTAACCGTGCCTGATTTCAGTCATGTGAGTAATTCCCAAATGATATTTCAGTATCACTTCTGAAATAAGTGATATATTTATTCAAATACAGAGCTACGTCATATTCTGCCTTTTCTCATTCATAATGGCATTGGACCCACCTAGAATATTTATTTAGCTATTTATTTCTTTATTTTTTATTTTTTTTTATTTTTTAAAAAAAAAATTTTTTTTTCAATGTTTATTTATTTTTGGGACAGAGAGAGACAGAGCATGAGCGGGGGAGGGGCAGAGAGAGGGAGACACAGAATCGGAAACAGGCTCCAGGCTCTGAGCCATCAGCCCAGAGCCCGACGCGGGGCTCGAACTCACAGACCGCGAGATCGTGACCTGGCTGAAGTCGGACGCTTAACCGACTGCGCCACCCAGGCGCCCCTAGCTATTTATTTCTTAGTTATTAGATTACATTTCATCATCAAATATGCTATCAAAAATAGTCATCAAATATATCGGCACTCAAGAACAAGAATGGCACACAAGCATGAACCCATCGCTATGGGCCCATTCTACAAAGAAAGCTCAGCCATTTTGAAATCAAAGGATGAGATGTCTGACTCTCTGTAGGGCAGTCCGACAACTCACCGGGGCATCCTAACAGTGAGTGTGGATGGAACTAATTATACTGGTTGGCTAGAACCTGGGGATTACTCACATGACTGAAATCAGGCACGGTTAGTCCTCACGGAGGAGAGGATTCTTGGGCAGTGTTTAAAAGGAAAGACAGGGTGTTGTTGACACGAAGATAATAGAAGAAATGAAATGAGACTCACATTTCTAGGCTCCCGTTGAGCACCAGCCCGTGCTCAGAGCTGAGGAAATAAAGACAGGAAGACTCCTGAAATGACTGGTTGCTAAGAGCGAGGCACTGGAATTTGGCTCCCGACTCTACTTCATTGTCACGCCAACTGTGTAAGTCAGGGTCATGATCCCTTATTTTTTCAGAAGAGGGCACTGAGGCTCATGGAGGTGAAGTAATCTGCCTGAGGTCCTGCAGTGGGGGTCTGAGCCAGGCTGTCACCCCAGGTCTGTCAGACTCTAAAACCTTTACTTTCAATGCATTTGGGTTTACTCACATAATTAAAAAAAA